CAATTTTAGAATAATCGCCATGGTATATTTTGTGCCTTCTGCGAGAAGGAGACAGTAATAACACCTGCTCTTGGTAAATGCCCGCAATGCCAAATAACTTATTCTGAACTTTTTGAGCAATATACCACATTTGTATCAACTATTGTGACTGAGATACGTACCAAGATATCAAATCCAAAAAGTATGTAATATATTTCAATATATTTCAATTTTCATATGACCAAATGTTCGGCTTATACCCCGAACCGAACCCGAACAATAGCTAGAGTCACTAACCTTAACATGTTGAATTTAGAATAGTATACACAGGTCAAGTATTTTTCATTTTATAGCTATCGTCACCCCCCGCAGCCACCCTATAGATATAAACATAGTAAATAAAACTATTGGAACTATCCACTTATTTATGAGGGTATGGTTCTAAAGTTAACTTTCCAATATTGATTAAGCGAATAAGTGGTTTTTTCGGGTGTGTCCGATTATGATTATCAATTTCCTTGTGATTTGGTATATACACACAGTTGAATGTCATATTTTTGCACTTGATTTCATGAAGATAGGACAAAAATTATATTATATATGTATGCATGTATATATTATAATTTGAAGAATTTAAAGCGTGGTCCTATATGTGTTGACGAAGGAGTACAGAGGGTACAGAGTCGAGCACTCTCTATATTGAAGAAGTATTTGAAAATGTATTCCAAAGGTCATCTTTTTATTATCAAGCATTTATTGAATTGGATCAAATATAAAGAAACAAAAGGAGAATGGCGGCGTTCTCATGCAAGTGCATGTGTTCTTATGTCTACAGGCACAAGTAATGTTACGTATTGAATTCATTCATATGTTATTAAGTACACAAGGTCCGTTCACTTTGGTGGCTGAATTACTTGCGTAGCGTTCACTTTGGTGGCTGAACTACTTGCGTAGCGTATATAAGTATGACGGTCACCAGCAGCTTTGACCAATCATGGTTTTTGATTTATGTTTGTGTTTACATTTGAATGCTTGGATATTTAACAGAGTGTTGATCTATAGTAATAGTTAAGTAGTAAATCAGACTACGATCACTTTAAAGCACCTTAGACAGTATGGTTGGGTAGAATACACAAAAGGTCTGTCTGTCAGCCAAATTGTGTATTGCTTTAAATCCACGTCATAACTGCTGACCAAGCTATGGGATATTTACTCACAGATCGGCTTCGCGCTGTTTGCCAAACAAATTCCAATTTACGCCTTATGTTATTTTGCGTGCAAATAAATTCATTTAGAATGTGTTTCTGATGACTCGTTATTGTTGGCTTTTCAAAGTTTGCATGGTTGCTGAGTATGTCCCAAAGATGTCCCCACTCCGAATGATTCCACTAAGCTTTGTATATTAACCAATTCGCGTATATAAGCTGTTATTACATCTGAGCACGGTATTGTATAGCTAGTTTAACCCCAATCGCAACGATTTTTCTTATTTTTTTATACAGCCACAAGCAACTACATATATTAAAAAGAATCATGATTTATTAATTTACATTTTTCTTTTGGCAGCTACACGACGCGATTTAACAATCTTGTATGGCACATACAACAGTTATGTTACTATGCATTTTTCTGAAGGAAATGCATTTCGTCTATCGGGCGTCCTAAGTTTCATCGAGTTTCTCACATCGAATGGTTTGTAGCTTTCGTTTTATTTTTATACTATCTATTCATTTAATGAGTTATAGAGATAAAGTTTGTTCAAATGAAACAGACAAGGGAAGCTTTTACGGCGCTAAAATTTACAAGCTTACTTTTTTTTGGGAGATTAGGAGCCAAACGTTAACTCCATATATGTTACAAATTTAAATGGGATTAAAACACAAAAAGTTTTTTATACAAAAACATAGTTTTCGACCAACATTTCTGTGGCAGCTGTAAGATATAGTGGTCCGAGGAGCATAAGTAAATTAATAAATGCAAAGCATTATCAAGATATCTTCATTATATTGGACCGATTCGGTCGGTTCTCACATGGGTACTGCTTGAAACAGAAAATCGGACACAGACAAAGTTTCAAGACGATTCCTTTAAAACAGACTAGTTCGCCCAGAAATATACGGACAGACGGATGTGGCTATACGAATTTGGCTGTTGATCGTGATCTAGAATACATAAACATTAGGGCGACGGCGATGTGTCCTTCTATGAGTGACACATATCATGACGAAATATAGCTGGATCGTTTCCATAATAATCGATATTTATTTCTATAATTATTGATATTAAAATTCGGTTGTTTGGGCTTATCTCGTAGGTTGTAAGAGCTTGGGCCTTTAAGATTGGATACTGTCCTCCAAAATCAAATAAATCAGAATATATATGGGAACTATCCAACTATTTTGTCCAAGTTAAAAAATTTAAATATATTGACTTATGTAAACTTCATGTCATGTAAACTGCATGTCAAATTTCGATTGCCTCGACCATAGAATTTGATGAAGAATATCTACTTTATGAGGTCGGAGATGGTTCTTTCTGCCTTATAAATACAGTTGTTCAAAATTGGTTAACCTCTTTACCTATTTTCAATGGGTTCAGGGTCCAAGACCATGTATTGGTTAAGAGAAGAACAATGTGAAACAAGGTTTATGTAGGAAGCGTATTAAATGATAGTAGGATTGTATCAATTCAAAATAAACTTTCATAAAAAATAAGAGTTTAAATTATTTTAATTTTTTATTTTCACATTAGATTTTTTAAACCATGCCTGCGATATAATTTTTGTGCTGCAAAGTTCTGATTACTTTTACGCGAAATATGATCAATTAAACAAAGATGTTTTTGTAAGGATATTAAAGACTATTCAGAAAATTATGGAACGATACATTGAGACTATGTAAGTACCCAATATGGATTTTTGATTATCAAGTTTCTATGAACATGGAAATATATACATATACTTTTTCAGTTTTAGTAATTGCTGTTTGGATGTAAATCCGACCTATCCCAAAATGTTATTGGCAATAACCTGGCACATTCTAAGCAATATAGGTGCTTATTTGGACATATATAGAGATGATATCGAAAAGCATAATTCATTCGTGGACAGTTTTACGCAGTATTATAAATGGAAGAAAATAATTAATTCTAACCTTACAATGTCAGTGTCATTGCAAAAATTTTTGAAAACAATTTAGCTTGTTCATAAGATACAATGCACAGATAAAAATGAGGTTTGATGCGGTATGAACCATAGAAACAAAATTTAAGCACATAAAGCACAAAGCATACACAAAAAGGAGTAATCAAATTGACAAGAAGTGGTCGCAAGTATTATCTTCCTAATGCTCAGTGGTACTGAAGGAGCCAATCGACAACAGGTCGTTTGTAAAAAAACAATCACATAACTGGCAACTGGCAACAAAAGAAAATGATCGTTCTTGCTTTGGTCTTTAGCCTTTCACATATGCGTTAAAGCACCTTGGCGACAAAACTATATTTATCCTTTTGAATTAGTTCTTATGCCGTTGTCGCCGCTTTTGATTGAGGGATCATAATATGGGCTTGTGCTTAGTGGACCCGTTTCAGCGTTTTTTGTTAATGGTTCACACGAATGTTAAAAATTAATTACAATAAGTTTAATAAAGTTTTATCAAAAGAACTAACAATATTTGTGTCTTATTTAAAGATAAGAAATTCATCCCCTTCCTCATGGCCACCCAATTCCCCTTCCTCTCCCTTCCCGTCGCATGCGTCACTCCCCTCCTCTATGTGATCTTGCTTCCCACACAGAAATGCAAACATACGACCCCCTGGTCCCTCCTCACGAACATTCACTTACGCACACACATATAAATATTAACATAGCACCTCCCACTCCCCCTTTCTTATGAGCGTCTCTCTCACATACCTACAGAGACACAAATGTAAGAATAACACCCCCCGCCACCCCTTCCCCATGAGCGTCCACTTACGCACACACACACACTCACACACACACACACATTAATATTAACATAAACACACTTGTCCTTGATAATAAATGTAAACAAACGTCACGTAATTTCCTGAAGGTAAACATACATTTCCATGTCTGACTAGCCATATGATCGCGTCAAGAACAGAATCAATAGCAGCTGAAATCAAATCCTGATCGTAGGTGTGTGTGCATGGAAGTTGGAATGCTTGTAACGGTATCTCCCAGTCGAGCACTCTCCTTGATCACACTTGCTATCTTAATAACTTCTCAATTTGCTTAATATCTACTCAATCTCTCAGTTCGAACAATAGCGCTTATATTTATGTTATTCGTTTAGTATATCATGTGTGTGTATCTTCGTTTTTGTATATCTAAGCTTAAATATTTACAACGGCATCTCCTAGTGGGTCTCTCGCGACTAGAGCACTCTGACTAGTTTAAAGTAAAAAGCCTTTCAAGTTTAGTGGTAGTTTTTTGAAAATGTCCACATATGCATTACCTTTTTGAACTACCTAAACTATTTGGACTTACTGCTTAATTTTTTTAATAGGAACGTGATGCTTTCTTAAATTTTTTTATCGTAACATCATCTTAGATCTTCAATTATAAACTTAATGTATCATACAATTTTAATAAGGCACAAGCGATCGACGATACTCAATCGAATGGGTGAACAAACATACTGGAATATATATAGGTATGCATAAGTTTGCATAGCAAATATATATTTATCTATGAAGCCCCCTGAAATGCGGAAAGAATTGCAAAGTATAAACGACACGAAGTGAAAGTGCTACTTGTTATCTTGTTCTGGTGTACTTGTTATCTTTTTTCTGGAAATCATGCATTTCGTTTAATCTTTGCCATCAAACTAAGAATTTATCACGTGCGTGCTTTACTATGCGGAAGATACCATTATGTGCATGACACGACTGTTGGGACTTGATGATCGTGCGAAAACTCAAAACATTAGCCGATGATGCGCCGTATATATGCAGAGTCTCTGGTGAAAGTGCATCATAATTGGCTTGACTTGATAACAATGAGAGTACTCACTGCGGTTGTTGGTCTGTTTTTGTCGGTGATCAGCGCATCAGAGGCGAACAACCAACATACAGGTTGCCCGTTTAGCCAATTGGATGCGTTGGATTTTGATACTTTGGGATCACAGCAAGAATCCGCTGGTCGAAAGAAGAGAAGTAGCGATCCGTATGACGTGCGGTCTACCGCGAGCGCGGATCATAACCTGGACGATCTATTAAAAAGCATTTTGCCCAAGTATAGCATCAATTCTGGACCCAGTAGTTGGATGAACTTACGGGGAGATGAAAAGCGATCTCTTGAGCTAATAAAGTGTGGCATACCACCGCGGAACTGCTTAAATGATACACAAAATTTGCATTATCGCAGCATAGATGGCGCATGTAATAATTTGCTCTATCCAGAGTTTGGTATCGCTACATCAAGGTACCGACGACTTCTGCGCCCCATCTATATGGAGCATGGACAAACAGTTCCGAACGCACGACTTGTTTCGCTCTCATTGTTCGGCGAGGATACTTTGATGGACAAGTTTCGCACGGTGGCTGCTATGCAGTGGGGTCAGTTCGTCGCACACGATATCAGCCAGATGACTACAAAGGGAGCACCCAAAGACTGCTGCGCCGAGTCTCGTCATCCACAGTGCCAACCCATCACACTAGCAGCAGGTGGACCCATCGCCTATAATACAGGGAAATCATGTCTCAGCTTTGCCCGTAGTGTATCCGACGCGGAGGCTATTTGCCCAAAGAGTGGCCTTTCTTATAGCGAGAAGCTGTCTGTGGTTACAGCCTTTTTGGATCTGTCATCACTTTATGGCAATTCGCAAGCACAGAGTCGACGAGTTCGTCTTTTCAAAGGTGGCCAGCTCATTACGAGTTACATCAACAACCAACAGTGGTTGCCTGTGAGTCAGAATCATGAAGGTGAATGCGGCACTAATAGTGAGTGCTATAGCATGCCGGATAAACGCAATCGTTTCACGCCTACTATTGCCGTGCTTCATACGGTTCTTCTGCGTGAGCACAACCGGTTGGCGGAGCAGCTGGCTATATTAAACCCTCATTTCAACGACGAGCGTTTATACCAGGAGGCCCGCAAAATCAATATTGCACAGTATCAGAAGATCACCTACTATGATTATCTGGTAGCTGTTTTGGGAAGCACTTACACGCATTTAAATGGACTTACTTACCCCTACTCGGACGATTCAACCGAATTTGTGAACGACTATGATGAGGGTGTTAATCCCAATGCCTACGCAGAGTTTGCATCAGCCGCTTTTCGCTATTCGCACACCCAGGTTCCCGGATGGTTTTCGTAAGTGGTGAAATCTTGTACATTAAAATCCCAGAATAGCATATTCTTATACATTTACAGAATGGTTGCGCCTAACCGGTACGCGAATCAGACGTTCCGACTCAGCGACTTTTTTGAGCGTACTGAGACCATTCAGCTATTGTCCTCCAATTTTAACCTAGCTGATCTGGTCCGTGGAATGGCCACTCAACTGCAAAAGCGGGCCGACAGTAATATCGATCGCGAGATCAAACACTACTTCAATCGGAAAGATTTTCAGGAATACGGTTCCGATCTAAAGGCGTTGGATATCCAACGTGCGCGCGACTTCGGACTCGCTTCCTACAATGATGTTCGTGAGTTCTGCGGTTTGCGGCGAGCCAGCGAATGGTCAGAATTCGCTACCGAAATATCTAATGAGGTAGGACAATCTTTATAGGTAATGCTTATTACAAACTTAACGTATTTTATTTGCAGAAAATTAAATTACTGCGTAAGCTGTACGCCTCTCCAGATGATGTGGAGCTGAGTGTGGGAGGAACTCTTGAATTTCATGTCCCTGACTCATTATTTGGACCTACTTTGCTTTGCATTGTGGGCAAGCAGTTCCTCAACACACGTCGAGGGGACCGCTTCTTTTTTGAACGAGAAAATCATCTAAGCGGATTTTCACGCAGTGAGTAATCACTTATACTATTTATTTATTTATTAGATTGTATAATATTGTTAACCACCCATAAAGACCAACTGGCAGAGATACGCAAGGTTACTTTGGCCTCTTTGTTCTGCAACAATGTTCAAAGCTTACATTATATCCAGCCGAATGTGTTTATTTTTCCTAATACTCGGTAAGTCGCAGTCATTGGATCTTAAGTTGTGTGGATTTTGTAAATGTCATATTAATCATTCTACTCACTTGCTTTTAGCAATGTTCTACTGAACTGCAACGACATACCTCAACTTGACCTTAGCAAATGGCAAGACCTTAGCCCTCAACTGGCTATCTAAAACAATCAAAACAGCGGAAAATCTATAACAGTAACTTTTTTAAATGAACAGCTAACATCAATTATCTTATGCTTAAACAACTAAACATTATATTACATTAAAAGATATATGTATGAAAAACTTTCATTTACGTTAGATTTCATCGCCCAACTGATTAATACCCACAACATCAACATATTCTTATAATTTCAAGGAATTTTTAGAGCAGTGGAATTGAGATGAAGTTTGTTAACCTATATTTTAGAACTAAAGTTGTCTAAGAAACCTGCAATATATATATGCACAAATATGAACTAAACTTCTTAGATAAAAATATTGACGCCTTTGCCCTGGTATTTTGGACAATCGAGGTCAATATCGAGAAAACCCTGCAAGTCTGTGATTTAGATCAGACAAAACTGAGTAAAGTGGACTGGCTCCTTGTACCAACCATCGGCCAAGGATCCAGAGCAATCGGGTAGGAGTATTCGCTTAGTTAGCTTAGTTGCTTGCCAGAACTACACTGCGGAGCATATCTGGATCCTGAGCTTATCTGCGGAGACTTAGCGGAATTTTTTTTGTATTTTCTTGGCCAAAGCATGCCAACGAACGCGCAATACGATGTGCACCTTTTATGTGTTATGCGTAATAATATAAAATAAAATATTATATAAAAATAATATTAGTTGACGAATTCGATGTTCAATTTTAACTTGGTTAAGACCTATTGAAATTGGATTAAATTTATATAATATTTGTACGACACGCGCGGGTTAGGTTTGTTTGAAAATATCAATAGCTTGTTCCGGAGTGTGTGCTTGCGTTCAGGTGTTCTTAAAAGAAGGGAATCTGCCTTCGACTAAAGCACGTTTACTTGTTTTACTGGAACATTTGTTTTGAGTTAGTATATAAGTACCAATTGACATATTGAAATTACAGGCAGTGAATTGTATTTAATATTAAATCTGGGTCTTGCGTAATATAAGTAAAAAAAAACCGTTAACCTTTAACTTTCGCTATGACCTTGCGGCTTGATTATACTTGGCTTGTTTCATTTAAGTTTCTAAATGTGGGTTAATGATATTCTGACGCGCGACACATTTGGTTTTAGGCGAAATACTAACAAGGTAGATGTCACCCCTTTTATTATGCAAAGTCAATGATATTCATATTCACACTATTATTAAATTCATTGAAAAGAAAGATTTCTCAGTGGATTTGATGAATAACGGTCCTATAGAATCTGAATTATTGAAAGTAATTTGTTTGGAAAAAATGCTACAGATTAATATAAAAGTGAACGATTCGTCGGCGAAAGGCAGCATATTCTTTTTCGCCATGAAGCTGATCATATCAATCTTCTGCTGCGGTAAGCTACATTTATTATTATTAGTAATGCCAAAATAATAACAAACCCATCTTTTTAAGGTTTCTTTATTGCCAGCAGTGTAGGCTCGGCGAGCAGAAAGAATAGCGATCAAGAAACTGGAAGATTTGTCGCAACTCTTCAGTCTCCAGTTCCAGCGCCAGCCCCAGCACCGCATGTGGTTTACAAAATACCACCATCATATTATCCGCATCCACATCAACCGCAACAATGTTTTTGTCCACCGTCTCCACCAGGGCCGCCGGGTCTACCGGGTCCGCCAGGTCCTCCAGGTTAGAATTCTACTCAAGATGAGGATTGTGTGCATGTGTTTATTATTGCTCTGCTTGTTCAACAGGAAGATCAGGATATCCTGGCCAAAAGGGAGATAAAGGAGAAAAGGGCGACAGAGGACACTTCGGTCCCCAAGGGGTACCAGGACCTCAGGGTCCCATTGGACCGCCTGGCTATCCAGGCAGCAAACCGTGGCCGGCACATCCGCCTATTTATCCCCATCCACCTCCAATAATAATTCCTTTTCCAATTCATTCGTCAAAAAAAGGACACCACCATGAGGATCACAGTGATGGCCAGAAAGGATATCCAGGGCATCCAGGATATCCGGGATATCCTGGCTATCCAGGCCATCCGGGTTATCCAGCGCATCCAGGTCATCATTCTCATCCAGACAATCCTCATCCAGGACATCAGCACCCAGGACATCAACACCCAGGATATCACCACCCAGGATATTATCATCCTGGACATCCACACCCAGGACATGCCCACCCAGGACACCCGCACCCAGCTCATCCACACCCAGGACATCCACATTCAGAACACACACATCCAGGCCATAATTGGCATCAATGGGGACCTCCGCGAAAATATTCTACAGGGCTTTCCCTGGAAAACGAAGTGTTTCTCGAGCTTCCAGAAAATGATATAAAAACTTTTGAAAATCTTAACGATGAAAGTACCTTAAACCACAACGAAATTATGGCGTCAGCGGCTTATCTAAAAGACCCTCTGTCTGATGAAGGTGAATCTAGTGATAATATGTCTGATACAGATAACATGAGTGCAGAAGATAGTTTAGAAATAAACGATCCAAGCACAAATGAGCACAGCATCCAAAAACAGCCAGCAACCACGGACAACCATTTTATTGAGGATAATAGCATCGAAGAACGAAGCAGCAAAGGTCCAATTATCCTAGCCATAAGCACTCCTCGCCATCCATTTCAAATGTATTCATATGATAAGGAACAAAATACATAATAACTAAATCAATTAAAGCAAGAGTTCTCAGGCTGAGCGTGCCCAACTTTAGAATACTCGTATACCATATTCACACAAAAGTCAACATTAAATTTGTGGCTTAAATTGGTGCGTGGGGGTGGACATGACATGAAAGATACTTAAGAACTCAAAAGGTTTGGTTAAAGACTGAATTTCAGTATCGATTTTTATCGATTAATTGGTAACGGGGTAAGTTTTCGATTACCGGAAACAAATGTCCTGCGCAGACACTGGGATCTATGTTCAACATTTCAAGCCTCTAGCTGTCTAGCTTCTGCTTTCATCTGCTTGTTAAAAGCATGTACACAAAATGATTAACCCCCTTTTTTTTTATTAATTTCAATGAATTCAGTGTATCAAAGACCAATTCTTTCTTTTTCTTCGTATTTGTTCTCTCTTGGCTGACTAATTGGTGAATTTTGTACTGTAACTACTGTACGTGGTGAAGGTGCATTTAAAAATATCTTTGTTCAAAGTTCAAAGGTGAAGTTTCACCTTTAAATTAAATCTTAAGGATCTTTATGAAACATCATTTGATAATATTTATTTAATTCAATTTTGATAATTCCATATGCGACTGTGGAAATATGGCTAACAAGATGAAACTTGTTTGCTTACAATTGCAAACTCAAGAGTTAATAAGAGAAAGTCTTTTTTCGGCCCATACGAGGCTTGGGCTTGAGTCTATTTTTGCGTATAAAATGCATGTACATGCTCTACTAAATTTCTGATACGCCAACTCAAATCTCGGTATAAAGCTAGACAAGGGCACTCGAACTTAAGCAAATATCGGTCGAAATTTGAATTTCCCTTTTGCTGTATAGCTTTCAGATTGAATATTTTCTTTAGTTTAATTTGTTTATTAACATACAATTACCATTTTTACTCAAAAACATAAGCACATAGACCAAACCAAAAAGAAAGAACACTTTTGAATGAATAACAAAACATCAGGAAGAATGACAAATATGTATTGACAAATATTTAGATAAACACTTTTGTGTTTCATATAAATGCCTTAATAACATATACATATATATTTATGTGTTTGAAAACGAAAGAAGAGACAACAAATAGCAAAAGAAAAAGTATAGAACAAAGCGCAGACTCTGCTAGAGTCGACTTTCGATATTTGATTCTCTATCGATCAGAGAAACATATTAATGCATTATATAGAATAAAGAAGTAGCTGGTTGTCAACAAAGAACTAAACTAGAGCAATGTATATAATTTCCTGTTGATCGCGCTAACCTGATGACGCGGAGTGTATATAGGCAGCGATAAGATTTTAATTTGCCAGATAAAATTAAGCTTATAATTAAAATTCGACCCAAACGTATTCGGCTTTTATGCCAGAAACTCTCTTAGCATTTAAAAAATATCTTATTATTAAAAAATATGTATGGAAGCGTCGTAATTGACGCCGAGCTGCTAATGTTGTTACATTCTGCTTGTTTATTATACCATATAACTTTGAATGTACGAGGAGTATAAATAGAATAGAGTCAAGCATCTAGTTTCATTTGCATTGATCGGGGCCATATATTAAAGACGGTTAAGTTCTTATATTGATTTGTTTATGTACATAAAAAGAGACAATATAATACATGGAGTTTGATTTCATAATCTTTAAACTGATTAATCTAAATGTTATTATATTTTGAACTAGTTAATGATAGATTCGTGTGTATAAAGTGCCAGCGATCATTTCTTTCCAAAAAGAATTGAGTGATCTGTGGAGGGATGTGCACTTTGGTCGATCCATTTCGTGAGGTCAACTTGCGGAATGTGTGTGCATGGCACAATAGGGTTCCTAATAAACGATTATGAAAAATGATTTATGTTAACTATAATTTTATTGTACTTACGATCCAGATATTGTTTTGAAAGCAGCAGGCTGCATTGAAGCAATATTGTTACCATTGTCGCAGAGCAAACGTGCCATGCTTGCCTTACGCAGCTCTACCAGTTGATCTAATAGTATATAATATATTAATATCAATATATGTAAGGGTGGATCTTATAATACCTGGAGTAAAACCAGTGATTTTATCTCCATTTTCATAGAAGAAACGATCGCCCACACGAGTTCTATAGAATTGTTCTGTAAGAATACAAAGAAAAGTTGGACCGGCTAACGCACCGGCAACATGTGCCTCTAAAGAACCACCAACTGTTAAATCTACATCCTCATGACTATCATAGAGCGACTTAAGTGTATCAATTATTTTCGGACTGATCAGATCGCCAAAGTCTTCCCACGAGTGCGCCCGTCTTAGCCCACAAAATTCCCTCATATCATTGTATGATGCAAGTCCATGATCACGATTGCGCTGAATATCCAAAGAAAGCAAGTCCGTGCCGAAGGGCATATTTCGTCTAAACAGGAAATGCTTGATCTAACAAATATAGGATGTCAGAAAAGGCTGGTATTTATATTTGATACTGCATAGTATATGCATACACACCTGTCTATCAAAGTTGATGTCCGTCAGCTCTTCTGGCTGTGTTGCATGACCTCTGGTAAGGGAGTCAAAATTGTCGCCAACTTCAAGAATGCCAGGTCGATTAAACCAATCACTAAGAGTCAATGAGCCAAGAACTGAACGCAGCTCGGACAAAAGGCTATAAATAAGGAATAAGCTCGGCAACATTGAGTGGATGCTTATTAAAACCAAACCTTCAACAGAGTGTATGACTCAATTTAAGTGAAAGATGTTAACTTCCAATCATTCAACCTATTGAACGGCTAATAAAGATGTACTTACTCCAATCTACCTTCGATTTGGGAATGGAAATATCTAAAAGCAGCTGTCGCATGTTCGTTTAATACACTGGGATCTATGTTGGAATCGTAGTCATTCACATAGCTTCCTCCAGGAGCTTTAAAAATGAGTCGATTTTTCAACATATTTTCAGTTCCGAGGAAAATTGGCAGCCACTCGTAGTAGCTTATATGCTGGTACTGGGCAATGTTGATTTTGCGTGCTTCCTGGAACAGAGTGCGATCGTCAAAGTGTGGATTTAGGGCCGCTAGAGCATCGGCTATACGGTTGTGTTCACGTAACAGTACGGTCTGTAATAAAGCTAGTCCTGGGTTCTGATTGACACGTACATCGCCTGCTCTATAGCAGACTTCACTGGGATCAATGGCATCACACTCGCCAGTGACGTTACGTGATAAAGGAAGCCATTTTGCACCATTTCGTTCCTCAACAATCATGCGTCCGCCTTGGAACTCACGAATGTCGCTGTTCTGCTGTATAGAGTTACCATAGACTAACGAGAGGTCCATATAAGCGGTGACTACCGTCAACTGTTCCGCCGGTCCACCAGTATATTGACAGTTAGAGTCGCGGTCTGTCAGCGTACGAACAAAGTTAAGACATTCTTTACCGACTTGTGAGAAAGCCGGGTCATGGGGAGGCACGACTATCGCAAAGCAGGTTTTATGTGCTATGTCTAAGCCTATAAAACGTCCGTCATTTGTGCAACAACGTGTTGGATGTTTCCCTATAAAAGTAAACAGGGGTAATGAGCTAGTACTTTATTATAGTTAAGTGATTGGGCTTACTAGATTGGGTGCCACCGGCTTGCATGCTCATGTCGTGGGTTATGATCTGTCCCCATTGCATGTTATGGAGCGTAAACTGAGGATCGGGCACGTCCTGCTCACCAAACGCCACCAAAGATACAAGACGAGCACTGGGCAGCTCGTTTCCGGTAACAGAACGGGTAGGTGCCGATATTCCATCGGCATATTTGGGCGTCACAAGACGGCCATACCTAGAAAGAAACCATTCAGTACATAACGACACAAAAACGTTGCAAGGGCCAGTCTGAATCATACTTAGTGTTAGGGACGCCTAGCCCTGAGCGTTCCAAATTATTGCAAGAGCCATCCATCGCTCGATAGGCCGACTTCGTACATATTGGTGGAGGATTAGCACATGTGACTCGCCCAGGCATTGGCGGAGCCGGTGGAGGATTCGCAACCAAAAGGAAGGGATTTTGTGGCGCCGGCGAAGTATCCGCCACTGCATTAGGTAGCGCATTTCTAGTAATAAAATTATGTTTGTTAGACTTATTTAAATAAATAGAAGCGAATCTTGGGCTTACCTCACTAAATATTGATCTCCTGCGTTAATATACCTGAATCCATGGAAATTTGGTCCATGAGTCTGCGGTTGCTCGTTGTGGACGATGTGATAGCCAGTAGACACTTTGAGTCCCACAATGCTGGAGACAATGCCCAAAATTCCAATTAAAAGCAGCTCCTGCGGATAGCTCATCTGAAATTGAGTTTACCATTCACTGTTAGTGAGCTAGCCTTATGAAGCAAGTGTGAGTGTGTGCGTAGGTAAAATATATGCTATAAGGTTACTTTTTATATTTTTACAAGCAAAAGATATTAAATCAATGTTACAATTTTAATTTAAGAAGAATCACGTCAAATATTTCTAAAAGGTTGATGATTATCTATTATTGTACATGTGAAATTTGCAGTATGAAATTGTCGATTGGCCTAGAAAGCCAGTAAATCATGATACTTAAATAGTAGAGCAGGAACTGGTAGAGCCTCGATTTATGTGAACTGGCAACAAACCCGTACCGCAAGCGTGCTTTTTTGCATGCGCTGAGCTTTTCAGCTGCTAGGGAACAGCTAGCTGCAACAATTCACAATCGATCTTAGTTTTTCCGACACAGGCTCCTGCAGTTATGGTCAGAACTGGTTTCATCACCTATTTGGTATGTATTCATTATTATTCATTTTCATTGCGACATTTCGAATGCCAGCCATTTGTTGCTGGTATTTGCCTAAACTACATACATATATACATATAAACATACATAGGAATTTATTTATACTTACATATGCTCGTGCAATGTAAGCTGTGGTAGCGTGAAAAGTCTCATAATTGTTTTAAAATAATATATATATATATATTTGGCCAACTTGCAGGCTACTTATGTAAATAGAATGAATCGCAGGTCTCTAATAGATGGCTGTACACAATGCATTTTTCCTAGCGCTCTGGCCTCGGGGCTAGACCTAGACTCATTCATCTAGCAATAGCGCCACAGCCGAGGCTAACCATAAGTCCCAATCTGTAGTCAGACCTTTGGGTAAAATGCCAGCTGCATGCAAATGCGCAGATATTGGCGGCCAATCCGTCCCAGTTGCTGCCGTGACAGAGACACAAACACAAGCAACATGGTGTATATTTTAATTGCATGGCAAGCAGAACAATGGCCCAGGCAATACGATTGGACTGCTTTAGATACATGCAAAGCTGTAATAAGTCTTGAATATGCCAACAGGCTCTGACAGGGCTTCCTAGTTAGCTAAGCTTCCTACCTCTTACCGCAGTTTAAACCATAGCCCCAACAATCTCAACATCAGGCGATTTAAATTAGAAAAAAAACGGGTAAATTCACGATTTTGAATTGTAATTTAAATTAGAGAAACGAGGCGTTTGGTAACTACAATGCAAACAACAGCGATTGTTCAGGGTCAGTCATTTTTATTTTTGTATATATTTACGATCGTTAAGCATATTATTAATAAGAGTAATAATATACTATATATATTAGCTGTCTATCCACTCTTCCAGATCTCTAATATCGACATGAAATTGTCATTGAATGCGGAATAGGAACCTTAAGGCGAAAACATATACGTCTGTCCCTAGCTGTGACAGTAATTCCATTCATTGCATGCCCTGTTTGCAAAGTAAAAAGGAGTATTTTTTTGTGATCTGTGCGTCTCTCTGTCCTCTCATACCAGTCGTGTGGTCGCAATTTTTGACGTTGTTGAATGTGTACTCGTGTCAGACAAGGAGACGACAAAAGAGTGGGAATCGATATCTTCCAAAATTTCACAGCTAGAGTCATCAAAGTTTGACAGGTAACTGTCCAAAGATTTTTCTTTTTCGATCGAAAAAGCAACAGCAACAGTGATAGTAAATGTAATATATTAAAGAAAAATCAGCTCAGTAGTTATTTTATAAATATTAATACTTAAAAAAAATATAATTGTATAACCGTATTAATAACAGAATTTGTTATGTACTGAGTCTAATGGCATACATTCCCAAGTGCTTAAGTCAGCAAAATACTCGAATATTTGATCACAAAAACATGCATTTAAAGTGGGGCAATATTGGCGACCCCAATGACTAGCCAAGATTGGCCATATTGGGTAAATGCGAGCAAATTTTTTACAACTTTAACGACTTCTAATTAAAATCAAATTTATATCGCCGAATCGGCAAAGAAATTTGGTGATCATTAAAGTGTAAAATAGCTCACCGCAAGACGGCGAAGAAATTAATACCAAATGATTGATTTATTGATGGCTTGGCACACTGGTCGCTGTCATCGACAGCCTTATTGGGATCAACAGTGTTGCGCCTTTGCCACTATGGATACAGACGTACATATCTGTCAATATCTTTCTGGCAATCCGTTGGGAGGCGGGTTCAGCAAAGGCATGTGAAAACCTCGATACGACGACGTGGTGTGCACACAAATAGAAAAACATTCCGATTGATCTATGTAGGTAAAAAGCGTTCGAGCAACAAGCACTAATTGATATTGCCATTTAAAGTGAAAGTGCCTCAAACAGAGAACCGAGTACCCAGCACCTTAAAGTGCAGATTGGGAGGCTGTCTGGCATCGCAGATGCAGTCTACCATTCGCATGTTGGCTATAAGTTGTGTAAATTTAAGCGACTCCTCAGATCAACAAGAAAATTACAACATATTTGGCCTTATTTTGTGATCGAAATCAAGGCACACACTTTATGCAACGACATGTCTGCTTTTTGTATAATTGATGCCAATAAGTAGACTGGCAGACTAGGTGCCCAGTCAAACATAATGTACATACATATATAAGTGCAAATGTGCATACATTTTCACTTACAGTCACACACACAGTGAGGTGTTTGTACCCAAAAAGTCTTGTGACCAGCCCGCTAAAGTTGCGGCTGGTAAACCGTAGCTCAGCTTTGATGCAGCTAGCCAAAAGTCACATGACCGAAACACTCAATATTAGTACACTCACGCAGTCGGGTGATTAGCAATTTATGAACCCGTTGGGCTGGACTGGTCGCATTTTGGTGTTCGAGTTTATTACAAGCACAGCGCAGGTATTTTCATTAATTGCGAGCGCAATTTGCAGTCGCCTTTGCCGTCGAACATTTAGATGCTACGAACTAATTGATTCTGAACGGATTTGGCCCGATTAAGCCAAGTCGAGGTAACTGGTTTTAAAGGAAATAATACAGTAAATCGAAATTGTCAAGTAACCTTTCATTTGCAGATGGATTTAAATTAAAAATATTAAAATATATGCCAGGGCAATGTACTTGGTTTTGTTTTGCAAGTCGCGATATACAATCGTCTTACCATACAACAGGTCTTATGGGACAGAGTAACAAATTAAACAAATTTATGTGAGTTTAAAATGTTTGTCATTTTTTAATAATTTGTTTTTGACTGTTAACTTTAGTTATAGGCTTTTTATGCATTTTCGTATTAAATATATTTATTAGATATGCATATACATATTGTTTAAATTTCGAATTAAATTGAATTAATGTCACCAAGAGCATTGGCGATTAGACTCAGCCTTAAAAGTCATCAGCAGCTAGCATAGGAGTTAACATTCTAGGTCCAGGTCCAAGGTAATGCAACTCTGCAAGTGCCTTTCGCCATTCAGTCTGACATATCACGATTCCGCCTCTAATACAGGCCCATGAAGTCAACAGTTGCCTGCTTTACTTTTAATTACCGACCATGCATAGCGTCGTGCCTATTTTGGTGACGGCTATTTGTAGATTCGCAAAAAACAACTTCTATGTCGATGCAATCGAAGTTACAACGCAATTATGATAGCTTAAGCTCCCTAGTAGAGGGGACTATAACGAAGATATATATTCTTGATCTGCATCAATACAAAATCGATATAACCATGTCCATCTGTCCGTCAGTCTATTCATATTTCCGTTGCAGGCAGTCGAAGGCAGATATCTTCACCAAACTCAGCAATTCATTATTCTCCTGACACATCTTCAAAAGCATAAGCCATACTTCTACAAGGGAATCAGATTGGGAGTGCCGATGACATCCGTCTTTTCTTGTTAAATAATACCAATTATCGGTATGATAAATAATCGGAATAAGGAAAGAGTTCAAATACACAAGATATCTATGTAAATTTATAAAACCAACTGTCATTATAATAATATATATTTATTATTTAATAGAATTTTGCCGCGACCTTGTCCGCGAACGATTTGATTAAGCCGGTTAAGTGTGCATCTGTCCCCACCTCTCCCGAGTATTCCTATCAATTTTCCATTGAACAAAGTAATAATAAGACACAAACAATGGCTCCATTTCGCTGTTTTGTTGTTTTACCATTGTATATCTTTCGCGCAAATCTCGATACAACATTCGATAATTCGGTCTTGCTGCCAACTTTTGACTTAAAAGGAAGCTTCAGATGATTTACGTTTCAAATAAGTTAAAAAATAAGTTCGGCTAGCTTGAACCAGACTTATTAAACTTTTTAAAATATTTAGACTTTTTTTTTAGGTTTGATAGTCTGGGAGTAAAATAGGGTGGCTTTGAGGAAGCAATTGTGTTTAGAATACAAACATCTAAGAGGACGTTCAGGCTATTATAAAAAAATTATTAGCAATATTCATATCAGCCGAGTCAAATAAAAAGACCAGTCGGTTGCATGAATTCGTTGATTAACCAAAGAAAATGTACTTTGCGAAAGCAATGGCGGGGTTTGTTGGTAGCTGGGGACCTGGAAAACAAATTAGCAACAAGACAATCTATAAAGTCATGTTGCGCTGAGGGTACTAAATAATTGTCGGCAGTTAACAATGATCAAGAAATGTTAGGTAAATTAAAATCACCCAGCACTATAAATATGTCATTAAGCACATGAGTAGAAACTTCTTTAATACAAGTAATATGTTTCATATAAACTTGCAAATCAAAAGAAGGAGGAACAGGAGCATGGGATATAAGTATCGCGTAATGGAAAACTTACCTTAGCTGATTCAATCTCAGCGTCAGTAGGCATTTTTCAACACTTTCCGTCGAAAGGTGTAGATCACACCTACCATAAATATTTTCAGCAAAGATATTTGAAAATGAGTGAGAAGCTGATTGGATGGTGAACGGAAAAGTTTTATGCAACCTGTTTTCTGGAGATTTTCCTCGGTGACGGTTTGAATTTCCAAAATCCCCGAAACACGTATTCATTATAT